TTCGCGTCCGAAGGACGAGCATATCAGTACGAGGTCCTGCCCTCCGGGCTGTCCCTGTTGCCCCGTGTCTTCACGTAAGTTGCGGAGGTACCCCTTGTTCCCTTGAGAGAACAGAGCATTCGCAGTCTCAACTACCTCGACGAAGCAGTCTCAGGATCAGTTGTGCGAACACAGGGATTTGGTGCTCTCACACCTCAGCCTGTTGGGCCTTCGGGTCAACTGGGAAAAGAGCAAACTCTCCCCAATGCAGAGGATCGCTTTTCCCGGTATGGAGGTGACTCGGTAAGAGCAGGATGGCGGTCCCACTGAACAGTTTCAGAGGCTCCTGGGGCATATGGCAGCTACGGCGGCAGTCACGCCGCTGAGGTTGCTCCATATGAGACCGCTGCAGCACTGGCTCCATGGCCGAGTCCCGAGGTGGGCGTGGCAACGCGGCACCTTCCGGGTCCAAGTTACACCGGCCTGCCGCCAAACCTTCACCCTGTGGTCAGACCTTGCGTTCCTCCGGGCAGGAGTGCCCCTGGAGCAGGTCTCCAGGCATTCTGTGGTTTCACGGATGCCTCAACCACCGGCTGCCTTCTTAGCCTTATAGGAAACTTGTGGTCAATTTGCAGTTAATATCTGATAAATGTTGGCAAAGAAATCACACGCTTCACTGGTGAACCAGCAGCAAACCTTTATTAATAATTGACAGTTTGCTGAACCTGGAAGACCTGACCATTTTTTATCTTTATTGGCAACCCTTTCCCACATCTTATTATGTAAGCACGTTTTGTTCATTTGTGACCTTACTGTTGTTAAACTGTGGCCATTTTTAAAAATAAATTAATTCCCATTTTAGATACATTTTCTATGTAAAGGGAATTACATTACTACATAAGAGGAACAATATTGTTGGAATCACTTTCAGAGAGATGTTTATATTGATACATGTACAATTACCTCAAAATGCAATAAATGACACACCCACATCTCTGAGGTTGATGAAGATAAGATAAGAATTATTAATCAATTGAATAATTCAAGGGCTAAATATATATTTGGAATGGATACTGCATTCGTAAAAAATATATAGTGCTTGTTTGCTAAAGCCCTTCGTAAATTTGATAAATGTATCTATTAGAGAAAGTAAATTCCCCTCAAATTGGAAAACTTCTATTATAACCCCAATTTCTAAGGCAGGATCAGTTGATGAGGTTCAGAATTATAGATCAATTTCTATACCCCGTGCAAGCTCTAAAATTTTGGAAAAGTTGGTAGCTAAACAACTTATCAACTATCTAGAAAAACATTATCTACTTCACTCTAAACAGTTTGGCTTTAGGCCTAAGTATGCGACAGAAATGGCAAACTGCTTTCTCACAGAATTTAGAGAGGGAGCTTTAGATAATGGCAATGTAGTAGGTGCAGTGTTTTTAGATCTCAAAAAGGCATTTGATACAGTGAATCCTGAAATTCTCCTAGATAAATTAAGTTTGTTAAGCTTCTCTCAGCAGGCAATAAATTGGTTTAGATCATATTTAGAATCTTGAGATCAGTGTGTTAAAATAAATAATTCAAGATCAGCTTTATGAAACAATGAGATGGGTCTCCCTCAAGGGTCAATTTTGGGTCCACTGTTGTTTTCCTTATTTGTCAATGATTTGCCAAATTGTTGTAAGCAAACTAAATGTCAGTTATATGCAGATGACACAGTCATTTGTGTATCGGCACAGACTCCACGCTTAGGTGCAGATATATTAACAAATGAAATGACTGGTGTGTCACAGTGGCTGCAAAACAACTGTTTGACCATGAATCTCAATGTGGTTTTCAATTAGAAGGAAGGAAATGAGTGGTTTTATAATTAAGATCAATCAAAAGGCAATAGAGACAGTTAACAATTTTAAATATTTAGGTGTTATTTTAGATTCTCATTTGAAAATTGATGTGCGTGTAAAGAGGCTGTGTAGAACAATCAGAACGAACTTGAATTGTTTTTGCATGATTAGAACATATATACTGTATCTCTAAAAGCAGCTAAGTTATACATGCATGCAATGGTATTTTCGCATTTAACTTAATGTGTGACTGTCTGGAGTCAGGTTTCTCAACTGACTATCAAACCTGTTAGATCTTTATATAAACAAACACTAAAAACTTTGGACAAGAAACCAAATAGATGGCATCATTGTAATATTTTACAAAAACATAATTTGCATAGTTTTGAAAATTTTATTAATTTGTCTCTTATTAAAATGGTTTTTAAATGTGTAAATAATATTGCTCCAGAAATGATATGCCAATTAATATCAAAACAGAGTAGTAAGGGGATCACTACAAGAGGTGCAACTAATCAGAATTGCACAGTACCAAAGAGAAAAACTAAATTTGCCCAATCCACATTTTCAGTTCAAGGTACACTGCTTTGGAACAGCCTGCCAGCTGAACTGAAAATGCAAACAGAGTTGAACATTTTTTAAAGAAATTAAAAAAAGTGGTTCAAACAAAAGCAGGTTTGTGAACACTGATGGTCGTACACAGTCTCATTTTTTATTTTTATTTTTACTTTTCGCTTAGTTGTTTTACTGTTGTTAAAATAGCCTAACCAGGGACTGGGGCTGCAAATTAGCCTTTGGCTAGAAGCCTATATGTGGAGCATCGGCTGCTTGAAATTGTAGCAATGTTATACTGTATTGTCTCTGTTAAATAAACTAGTAAATAAATAAATATATATTAAAAAAGCCAAAACCTCAACATAATTACTAAAACTTTAACTAAAATTAAAATGAAAACAGAAAATATAAAATGAAAATGTAATTCAAATCAAAATCTAGTATATCAATAATACTATAATAACACAACTAAAGAACTCTCGTCAGTTAGATGCTAATATATTTATCATTATAGTTATTGTTATTTTGAACAGGCCACACCAATAATAATCAATAACAAAAAGTATAACTGCAATGTTTTAAAAAATTGCTCTAACTCAAAGAGAATAGCTAAGTCCATAAGACAACTATGATGACACAGAGGAAAGATATCGTTGGAATCACTTCCAGAGTTATTTTTGTCCAGCTGGTGAAACATAAAAACAAAATTCACCCTACAGAGCTCATTAATGCAAATTGCAAGATAAACTTGTACACTCACATAAAAAATAAAAAAAAAACACTCACATTTTCTTTTTCTGTAACGTTTGTCTTCTATAACTTTTGTCTGAGGGTTTTTTTTTTTAAACAAACAAATGTTTTTATCTTTTACTTTTTTAAATATTATACCATTATGTAATGTGAATTGTAATATATTTATTTGCCTATTAATCTGTCAATGTTCAAAGCATTCCTCTTTTTATTTATTATTATTATTATTATTTTTAATAGCATAACAACACTGACCGCTGAAATTTGGGGGAGGGGCAGCTCAGATGGGGAAACTGAAACTGCTTATAATTTATCTCAGTAATGTTGTTGCCACATTCAACTTATAACTGTGCCTTTCCAAGAAAAAAATAAAGACTGTAATATGAAAAGCCACATACTAAAGAACAGAGATTTCTTTTTTAAAATATATTTATTAAGAGATACAAGCTCTGGATCATGAAACACATGGTACAGTAGAGCATAAAGAGTGTTATGACTTGCATTGGTTTCCTTATGGTCTGCTGTTCTGGTCATTGATTTTATTAGTAGTTCTTCACCCATTAATTTATCAGCACTGTCTCCTAAATTCCCTGAAAGAGCTACAAAAGATGATAGCTCATCGCTAACATTCAGTATTGGTGCTTGCTGTTTTTTCTCTGGGAACAGTATCAGTTTTGGATCAGTCAGGATGGCACATCTCTGGAGACTGAAATTCGGTTTCATTTTGCTTGCTGGCTGTTGGCTGTAATGCTTTGACTTCTTCTTTTCTAAACTGCTTCCGCAGAAGCACAATAACAGCAATGATGAAGAAGTAGGAACATCCACTTAAACATGTGGTCAGACTCAAGAAGATCACTCTGAAAACAGGACACCAAGAGATCCATGCTTTACATACAATCCAATTTGTTTTTCAAATGTGAGC